TGGGAAGGAGGGAAGCACAGTGCTGGGCGTCAGGGCTGTACTGCCTGTGTCCCTCGGTGGGATCGCTGTTCCCGGAGCGCAGGGGAAACCGGTCTGGGGGTCCCACAGGTGGGAATGCCGTAAAAAAACAATAAACACCGGGATTTTCGGCACCATCCCAACTCCCTGCCAGGCTCTCATTACCCGAGGGTAAACAAGTTAAATAACACGAATAATCTTAAATCCCGCCAAGCGGTCCCAGTCGATGCGATTTAACGAAGAAGAACGCAATATTCCAAATGAGCCGAAATTGAAAACTTTGGACCCAAAGAGCCGGAGCCCGCCGCAGTAACAAACACGGGTTAATTCCGTCCTTGCCGAACCGGGGACCACCGCAGCTCTTGCCCCAAACCCGGAGGAACGGCCCCAAACCGGAGCGCGGGGGGGCACCCGGGGCACTGCGCTCACCTGCGATGGCCGAGTCGTCCAGCTGGGAGCCGGGGGCCCGCTCGGCGCGGCCGGGATGCTGCAGCAGCGCCAGGACAACGAGGAGGAAGAGGCCGCACAGCGCCCGCACGGCCCGGCCCGGCCGCGGCTCCATTTCCGCGTCCCCGCCGCCGTCAGCTGCTCCTCGGCATCGGCGCCGGCTGGGGGGCCGCGAGTGTCCCGGTTATCCCGGTGTCCCGGTTATCCCGCCTGTCCCGGCACCGCCGCGAGCTGCGGCCGCGCACCGGCTACCGGAACCCTCTGCCTCCCCCCCCCCACCCGCTCTGCAATGGTCTCTCCCAGGACAGCCTCCCCCCCCGCCGCAGTGGTCTCGCCCGGGACAGCCCCAGTCCCCCCGCCCTCAATGGTCTGTTCCCGGGGTAACCCCGCCGGTCTCTCGCCGTTCCGCCGGGGTAACCTTTCTTCCCGCCACCTCCGCTAGAGTCTCCCCGGCCCGCTCCGTCCCTCCGCCGCCTTCTCGCCGCGGTGCCCCGCGTTAAACCCCGCTCTGTCTGTGCCTGGACAGCCCCGCACCCCCCCGCCGCGCCGCCGCGGTGGTCTCGCCCGCCCCCCCCCGCACGCCGCGCTACGCACCGGTCCCTGGCGCCGCCGCGCGCGCGCTGACAGGGGGCGGGGCCGAGCCCGGCCGAGTCACGCCCACCAGTGGGCGGAGTCAAGGGGCGGGCACATGGCCACGCCCCCGCAACCGCCCGCGCGCGCGGCGCAGGCCCGCAGCGACCTCTGGTGGGCACAGCGGGGAATGGCAGAGCCGGGGGGGCGACCGAGCCCGGGGGCGACACAGCCAGGGGACACGGCCAGGAGACACGGCAAGGGGACACGGCCAGGGAACACGGCAAGGGGACACGGCCAGGGGCCCCGCCCCGCCACGGGGGCATGTCACACACCCCGGCATGTCAGAGCACCCCGAGGTGTCACACACCCCGGCATGTCAGAGCACCCCGAGGTGTCTGAGCAGGTCACAGCACCCTGACAGGTCACAGCACTCCCGCTCTCTGGGCACAGACATTTTGAGGTCCCAGCACGTGGCTCCTTATTTGCAGTGGGGCTGAGGAAATCTCAACACCTCCTAAAGCTGTCAAGCTGTCACACCTCCCGGGCCATGTGCTCCCGGTGGCATCGCTGGGCGGTGCCACCAGTGCCCGAGGCCACCAGCCTACGGGGGGACGGGAAGGTCACATCCTGTCTGTGTCCCACTCCTCACATCCCGTCCCACCGTCGGGTGCTGCGAGAAGTGACACCCTTGTCCCTGGAGCGGGGTCCTCCCAGCCAGGTGTCCCACACCCCACTCTGGGATGGGGGTGCCAGGCTGGCCCCTCGTGGGCCCATGGCGAGTGCCCGGGCTGGGGCACGGGGCTGCCTAGTGTCCAGGCTGATGCCCAGGCTGCGTTGGGTGCCAGTTCTGGTCCCCGTGCTGGCACTGGGGAAGATGCCGGGTGTGGGTGGGGGGTCCCACCCCTGCAGACTCCGAGATGAGGATGGGGACAGGCCACTCGCTCCTGGAACTCTCCTCCTGCCCCAGGGACCCTCAGGGGCTGCGGGTGCTGTTGGGGGGGTCCTGGCCCTTATGGGGACTTCCAGTTTGGGGGACCCGGCCCTTGAAGGGACCCTCACAGCTCCAGGGCTACCCTGGCCCTCACCCAGCGCAGCTCGGAGTGGAGGGGGCACTCCCTCAGTAGCCCCGGGCCCCCTGCTCCTCCTTGGGGTGCAGCAGGGTAGCCCCGGGGCCCCAGGGACAGCTGGTCCCCCGCGTGCTGTCACCCCATCCCAAGGCAGCCGGAAGGCAGGGGGTGTCACCTTCCCCCCGCCAGCCTCCGAGTCCCCAGGTAGCCCCGACTGGGGTGGGCTCCCCTCCCTGCACGCCCAGAGCTCCGGTCCCCCTGGGCTGGCAGTGGCCGCTCGGCTGTGTCCCTGTCCCCAGCGGGGGAGTCGGGGGGTGTCAGGGGGTTCAGAGCTGGGGGTCACGGATGAGTGCCAGGGGTGGGGTTGGGGGCGTCAGAGGTAGGGGCAGGGATCGGGGGCGGCTCAAGGGGGGGCGCTCGGGGGGCACAGGCGAAGGAGGAGGGTCCCTGCTCCCTGCCCGGCCCCGGGCGCTGCAGGGCCCTGCCCGGGGCGGTGCTGGGGGGTCCTGCCCCGGGGTCCTGCCCCGGACCTGCCGCAGCCTCAGCTCGCAGCCCGGTCTCGGTGCCCGCAGCCCCGTCCCGGAGCCCGCAGCCCGGTCCCGGTGTCCGCAGCCCGGTCTCGGTGCCCGCAGCCCGGTCCCGGTGTCCGCAGCCCCGTCCCGGTGCCCGCAGCCCCGTCCCGGTGCCCGCAGCCCGGTGCCGGTGCCCGCAGCCCCGGAGGGCGCCGGGCCCGAGGAAGGAAGCGGCGGGCGCGGGGGGCCGGGCGCGGCGGGGGAAGTTTCTCCGCGGGACCGCCCGGGGCGGCGGCGGAGGCGGCCGCAGACTTCCTCCTCCTCCTCCTCCTCCTGCTCTTCGTCCTGCTGCCGCTGCCGCTGTCGCGCCGGCCCCGCCATGCCCCGGGGTGAGTGCGGGCTGGGGGCTCCGGGAAGGGCCGGGGGGTCCCGGGGCCGGGGGGTCCCCGCCGGGCCGGGCTCCGAGCCGGGGGGGCGGCAGGAGCCGCCTGTCGGGGCCAGGGCGGGGGCGGCGGGACCCGCCCGGAGCGGGACAACGGGGATAGGACTGCCTGGGAGAACGGGCTTGGGATAACGGAGCTCCGGGGATAAAGGGACCGCCGGGGATAACGGAACCGTCAGGGATAACGGGACACCGGGCATAACGGGGGACGAGCGGAGTTTTGAGCGGGAGCGGGGCCGGCAGCAGCCGGGACAGAAACTGGCCCGGCCCGACCCCTCGCGGGACCCCCGGCCCCCGCCCGCAGCCGCCGAATCCGCAGCCGCACCCGCGCCCCGCGGGCGGGCCCGGCGCTGCCGGGGCTGCGCTGACACCGGGGGGCGCTGCACGGCCCGCGGGACCCCGGCCCGGACTGACCCCCAGCACTGACCCCTACACGGACCCACTGACCCCCAGCACTGACCCCTACACGGACCCACTGACCCCCTGCACTGTCCTCTCTGCACTGCCCCACTGCCCCCTGCACTGTCCTCTTGGCACTGACATCTGCACTGACCCCACTGATGCCTCCAGCACTATTCCGCTGCACTGACCCCCAGCACTGTCCTGTCCTCTCTGCACTGACCCCCTGATCCCCTCTGGACCGCGCCCACACGTCCCTTGCTGTCGCTGTCACACTCGTGCAGCAGCCAGGACGTGCCAGGGCTCTCCCTGTGGCGGGGGTGGCTGTGGTGGGTGCTTGTCATGGGGTCCCCCTGGTGTCTCCCCCGGGGTCACTGGGTCACTCAGCCATCATGGGGACACCCGTGGGTCCTCTAGAGCCTGAGGGGGTGTGGATGGTGCCAGGGCTGGGGCTGCTGGGCTGCTCCACTTGGCTTGGGGGAAGGAGAAGCCACCGAGGAACCAACTGTGGCCTATGGGGACAGGCTGTGGTGGGAGTGTGGTGGGATGGGGCCCACGGGACAGGCTGTGTTGGGATGGGGCTGGCACTGGGGCCACGGGTGTCAGGAGCATCTGGGGGCAGTTGTGGAGGTGCTGGGCAGCGCTGGCTGCAGGTGCAGGTGTGGACTGTGCCCTTGTGCATGAAGTGGGTTTGGTTTGGTTTGGTTTGGTTTGGTTTGGTTTGGTTTGGTTTGGTTTGGTTTGGTTTGGCCCAGAGAGGTGTGGGAACAGAGTGGTGCTGCTGCCCAGCACGGGGACATGCCAGTGGCTCCTCTGGAGGCCATGGAGCCTGGCCTGGCCTGCCTGGATCCATCCATCACCCA